GCGGCCGGCGCTGCGGAGTGGAAGCAGTCCAGATCAGAGATGGAAAGAACAAAAAATTTCATCACTTCCAAAAAAAAAAAAAAAAGCACGAAAAAATGACGTAAATGAACAAGCAGAAAATTGCAGGGGCAAAAAAATACACGCGAAATAGAATTCGTTTGCTACAATCATCATAAGCGTGTTTCTTGAGGAAGACAAGGCAAGAAGAAGAGGTCCCCTTAGGATCAGCTGATGGGGCACAGTAGTCGGCCGGTGTATCTACCCGGGGCTGGACCAGCGCCGCGCCCTCTCGGACAAAATCTATCACTGCCCACCCGACCCTGCATCAGATAGCAGCTGAAATATGGACGCCCACGCAGCCGCAGAGGGCCACGCCCGCAGGCAATACACTGGAAAAAAACCTATTGGGCATTTCGGACGTGTCTACCTTCGTTTAAGGTACTAAATTAACATGCAAAGCCCTGCTCTTCCTTAAAGTATACCTTTGTTTCTGAAATGTAGCAATGCTTTGCAGGAATTGAACGGTGGGGTTTCTCTCTCTCTCCCCCTCTCTCCCTTCTTTCAAGAGACGCGACTGCGACTCTCTTTTGCACTGATCCGCGTTCGGCCACTGGACACAGGCGGCGCTCAGCGGCGCGCGTGTGACTGAAGTGCTCACGTCCGCACAATGCCGGGCGGAGGGATGCCGTTTGAAGGGGCAGAGAGAGATGTCAAACAGCAAAGAGGGAGGGAAGGTGACGAGTGCGGGGAAGAAAAAAGGACAAAAAAGACCGACCTGTGGCATCGCACGTCTGTGAGCCGAACAGCTCACGTGTCACACGCACTCCAAAGAGAAGGAGTGTCGCTCTGTTAGCGCAAGTGTGTCTGGCAGATTTCTGACGGGCGGTCCAGGTCTGTCTGTCTCCCTCTCCCGATCCATATGCAGGCCGCAGCGCCCGTTCCACCCGTGCCCTCGCCGTGTGTGCCCCCTCTCCCAGCAAAATGCGATATGAGTGTGCACTTTTTCTTGTTATTTACGCTTTGGATGACGACGATGATGACGAGGAGTACGTCGAGAGTCTCTGGGAACTTGAGACGAAGGAGACAACAAATCGTAATAGAAAAGTCCGGAGTCCGAGTCACTCGAGCACAGTAGTCCTGAAGACGGGGCCTCCAGGAGGACGAGAGGGCGCGAGCGGCAAAAAACAATCACTCGGCGAAAAGTCGCTGCTTCTGCGCGACCTTATTGCCGAAAATGAAGCCGAGCCGACGGCTACCCGTCCCGTTTTGGCGTCCCGCCCCGCCGCCCCGGCAGCACAGCGCGCTGCGACTCTTGACAGCAATATAACCCAATCCGAGCAGCCTGGAACCGGGATGGGCCCTGCCCCCCCCCCTATCCCTCTCTCTCTCTCTCTCTCTCCCTCTGCAGGGGCACAATAAGGCAGCGAGCCAGCAATCCAGCCCGCCGTTGACAACGCAGGTTTGCTCGCAAAGAGCCATTTCATTTCATTGCATCACGCTCTGCGCGTGTCGCGCCACCATTAAGGTGGAGTAAGACGCCACACGCCCCGCCCCGTCATGCTGCCCTTTATGGTTCAAATTCACACCAGCCTTAGGCCTCTCTAGGTCTTCTCTGGTCTCTCAGGATTTTTCCAGGGCTGC